GGGTGCGGCCGGGTCTGTGCCGCTCCACCGCTCGGCTCTAGCGAAAGGCAACGGGAGGACCCAACAGAGGAGATGCTCTTCCACAGCAGTCCCCAGAATATCTAGTTTAGGGAAATCCTGGGTTGAATTGTACCTACCTGGTTCAGGCTCCAGCCAAGGTGGCTCCTTTTGAGTTGGACCAAACTCACCCAGGGCCAACACCCCTGGCAACAACAAGCCCAGCCGGGACCCCTCAGGGTCCTGCATCCCAGTGGGCGACCTGACAGAGCAGGTCAGAGCATCCCCGACCCCATCGCCTCCCCGTCCCCCGCTCCCCCTCCACACTATTGCCTTGGCCAGATCTTGCCCCACCCCGTGGCCGTGCCCCCCCGCTTTTACCTGATACCCACATGGCTTGTGATACCAAAGACGTTCTCTATGCAGGAGAAAGCCTTCTTTTCCACCCAGCACAGACCTTACAAGCCTTTGACAATGTTCTCTGAAATACCTCAAAATATTTAATGTATAGTTTATGTGATAAAAAAAAAAATTACTTAGCTAGTTTTTGGAATTTGTGACTTGAAGCTTTATACTGTTAAATTATAATTTTGCAGAAGACGGCATGTTCTTATTTCTTTGATGCGTTCAATGGGAGACATATTGAATGTTAAGGAAATGAAAGCTGGATAGTTTCACGATTAAAAAAAAAAAGAGAGAGAGAGAGAGAAAGAGAGAGAGAAAGATTAAAAAAGGACCCTTGGAGTTTACAGATTTCATATTTAAACAAGTCCTTTTAAAAAAAAAAAAAGAAAAAAAAAGAAAAACTAACGATGATGATGATACCTTTGCGTTCAGATGTGTTACTTTTCTCTGAGTCATGTCGTACAAGAGTATTTATTATATGTGTTCTGTGTTCAAATGTAATTTAAAGAAGACCAAAAAAAGACAAAAAAAAAGACAAGATGAGAATTTGATTTATGCATGAAAAAAATATACTCTTTCTTGAAGTAATGTAATAATTATTCGGGGAGGGGTGGTCGGGTGGGAGCGGGAGGGGACAAACTGTGCTTTTTTCGTCCACGAGTTTTCAGTTGATGAGGACTTCTCTGCATGGATCACTTTTTTTTTCCAACTCATGCAACCACGGGAGAGTCGTCGTTTACCCCCTCGGTTTCTTCCTTTACCTCTTTTCTTCCTTTTCCCCCCCTAAAAATCGCATGGCAGCGACGCGGGGAGGCAGGGGGCTGCCTGGAGGACCCCCGGGGAGGACGGGGCGCACGGCGTGGCCCCGTGCCCGGCAAACAGGGTAAGGGTATCTGTGGCACGGGACCCTGGCGTGTGCGCCCACCCGTCCCACCCGTTGCCATGGGGTCTGGCTCCTTGCCGTGCTTTGGGTTTGGTTTGGGGTTTTTTTTGTTTGTTTGTTTGTTTTTGTTTGGTTTTGGTTTTGGTTTTGGTTTTGGTTTTGGTTTTTTACTTTATCCAGCTCTGTGGGTCAAATCCCAAGTGCAGATGAGAGAAGGAGAGACAATCAGCCACCACGACCTGAGCCGGCAAAAGCCACAGGGCTCCTCGTGTGCTCTGAGACAAGGGAAATGGCCCCCAGGCACCCCACACCTCCCCCTGGGGCTGAGACCTTTCCAGGGGATGCTCCCAAGTCCCCGTCGCTTGGGGTGACCCCGCAGACCTGCCTCTGCCCTTGCCCTGCATGGAAGGAGGTGCTGAAGACGGTGCTGCATCAGCGCCCAGCCGGACCCAGGGATGGACTGGAGCGGCCCATTTCTGAGGTTTTTATCCCCAAGGATACACAGTGTCTGCCCCTGCCAGGCTTTCCTGGGCCACCCAGCCTGGCTCTTGCCCTGCCCGGAGGCACCCGCTCTGGTTGACGGGGTAAGAAGAAGGGTCCAGCCAGTGGAAGAGGTCCTGGCCGCCAGTAGGTCTCAAGGGGCTTTGGAAGATCTCCCTGCCTGCCCTGGACAGCCAGGGAGCTTTCTGCAAATGTCTAGAGAGCCCACCCCGAACAGGGCTGCATCCTCTGCTCCTTCCTCCCCCCTGCTCCTCCTCCTCTCCTTGCTTTAAGACGGGAGGAGAGCAGCGGTAAAGGAGTCACGTCTTTGGAGGTCAGGAAAGTGATGGAGGCCTGGAGGAGGCAGTGGAGCCTGCTTCTTTCTGCTTCCCCACCATTACCAGAGCATTTACCTTAAAATGATGATTCCCCAGCCCTCTCTGGCATCTTCACCACTCCATCCTCCACTTTCATCACTAGAGGTGACCCCAAAACTCAGCCCACTGTGAGGAAAGAGATCTCAGCTTCTTCAGGCCCCACCAAAGGGCCCCCCCAAAAGCAACGTTGGGTTTTCTTTTTTAAATCTGCATCTTTCGTCTAATGCGGTGTCCCTGCGGCCTTCACCTTCTTCATGGCCAGCGCTGGGATGCTCAGTACCAGGTGGCAATGGGAGACATGGGACCCTCTGACCGAGGACCAGGGTTTTAAGAGGACATGATGTTTATTCCAACAGCACCATTCATCTACTAACCAACTGTCCTCTGGGGAGCTCTGCATCCCTGCCACATCCCATTTCCTCCTACAAGACCTTGTCCAGCACGAGAAGCTTTGATACTTGGAGGCCAAGACCTTGTTTCCAACCGCAAGAAGGTCTCACCAGGCTTGGATGCAACCCGCAGCCACAAGTCCTCGGCCCTTACAGAGACCAGCTGGTTTCCCTCACAGGGCATGAATCAAGTGGCTTGGGAAGCCCTGGAGAAGCCAAGAGCCGAGCTCTCTCCCCTGTCCTTTAGCCCACCAGGACTCGCTGGATCAACCCCAGGCAGGCTGAGCCCTGCCCCACGCCGGATCTGGCCGTGCCTGCTGCCCACATCAACCAAAATACCTTGAGGAGCAACTTGCCACGATACCAAAGATTTTTTTTTTTTTTTTTTTTTTCCCTTGCAGGTAATGACAATCCGAGCTCTGTCCTAAAGACAATTCTCTTGACCAGGGTTGCCCCCAAAGGGTGTTTTTGTGCTGTGGTGAGCAGGAGCAAAATTGGGGCCCCAAGGGCACCTCCGAGGGTGATGGAGAGCAGATGACTGAAGGGTGAGGAAGAGGAGGGGACCCAGGATGTCCCACTGAGACCTGCTGGTTCAGCCTGGCCACTGTGTTCTACTTCAGTTGTGGAAGTTTTCAGGGATTTGGGTCATTTCATTACTCATGACACCCTCCGGGCACTCTGGTACTACCTTGGGTGGAAGTTTTCCACCGATGGCTTTTGTGCTTTGAAGACCCACCACTGGTGGCAGGGCAGTGCTGTCCCTGTCCCACGGGGCAAGCAGGAGGAGTGCGGGCTCCCGGGGACACCCAGATGGGTTTTAGCCATTGTCACCTTGCTGTGGCACAGCCAGGGCCGAGCTTTTTCCTGCTCTAACGATGGCTCTGCTGATGGGACATCGGCGCAGAGCGGGCCAGGAGCTGGCGTCTCCCGTGTCGAGAAATGGCTTTGCAAAGAAAATGACCCTCCGTCCTTTTCCCTGAGCGTCCGGAGTCTGGGTGGGGAAGATGATCGGCTCCTCGTTACCCCCTTCCCCAACCTCCTTTGGTCACCGTGGGCCGGGTTGGCCGCCGGCGCCGCGCCAGCCTCATCACCGCAGCGCATCCCCCGCGTTAAATCAGCTCGTTTTCCCTTGTCTCAGAGGACACCCGCCCCCGAGGTGGCGTTGGCAGCCGGCGGTGGGGCTGGACCTGCAGACGCTGCTGTGCAGAATCCAGTTCCTCTTATGTCTTTCTTTGTTTGGGGTTTTTAAAGGGAGGAAATTAAAAATGCAAAGAACAAAATTCAGGTGTTTGTTTTTCTTTTCCTTTTTCCCCTTAAATTTCTAACGGGAAAAAAAAGAAGTCAGACAGAATTAATCCCAGCCAGGAAGAACCTGCAGCCTCGGGTTTGCCAGTCCAGCCACCTCCAGAAAACATTGCTCATTTTTCTGTATAGCAATAGGCAACGCTTGCCCTCATCCCACATGGTCTGAGGGCCACATGTCTGAGTTTTTAAATTACTTTTTCCTTCTAATTAAATTGAATTTTTTTTGTTTATATTTTTTTTTTTTTTGCTACTGCTTCATTGTTACTCTCATGGGATAGGTTTTACTCTACAGCGAAATGCAATTGTTACTCCTCTGTGTCTTGCAACTATATTTGTTTAAGCTATTTACAAACGTTAAAAAAGAAAAAAAAAATTAAAAAGAGTCTTATGTGTCAGGCACTTTATCCAAACTGTGCTGTGTGCTCTGGAGTTTGTTTCTTGTTCTTTGCAATGACTTACGCAGGGGAAGTTACTAGGAAACTTAACTCCAGCCTGTCAACAGGTTTTAAAAGAGAAAAAAAAAAAAAAAAATTAATCTCTATTTGTTCATCCTCTACTGGTCATGACTGTGTTGTATTTCTGCAGCTTTCTGTTTCTTCAATAAATTATTTTCTAGTCATTCACCCTGGGGTGTGTGTGTGTCCCGCAGTGATGCTCAGGGGTCAGGTCCCTCCTGATGCCCCAGGAGCTGCTCGGGCAGGACACGGGCTGCTTTGCAGGAGTAGCCTCATTTTAACCAGCTCGACTCCTCGCCCTTAGACCTGCCCTGGGAGCAGCAGGGGCGAGATCTGGGGATCCCAGGCAGCTGGGAAAGGCTTCCCCCCCTCCCCAGTTTTCCACCTGGTAGTTGCAGGGGTGAGAGCTTTCCCAGAGGAAGCCTCATACTTTTATTTCTTGGCACCATCCAGCATCCTTCTGGCCAGAGCCCAAAGAAAACACTTTAATTCTCACAAACTCGGTGTAGATGAGGCCAAAGCACTTGTTAAACAAACCCATCAAGTCATGTGTGCTGCAGGCAGGTCCAAGCCCCCAGGGCTGATTTAATCATTTTTCTTTTTACCCAGATATCTGGTCCTACCTTGCATTTTGCCATGGCACAAGTGCTGGCAGGTGGCAAAGAGCTGGTGACACCCACCAAGAGACCACAGGACCTTTCCGTGAAGCTTTCTCCCTTGGTAGCATAGCAGAGATTTACAGGGGAGGAGAGAAAAGCTGAAGTCCTTTTAATTAAAAAATAAAAACAATAAAAAGGATGATCTGATCACCAGTCAGTTGTTCACCGACAGCTTCTCCAGCAGCCACCGCTGATGTCCCCCAAAAGTACTTTTCAGGGCTTTGCAGCAAACAGCCTGTGGCTACCAGCTGTCCCCAAAGATGGGGACATCAGTCCTGGGGGCAGTGGGACACGGCCGCTGCGGAGACAGGACATGGCACATAGTAGACGCCACCACCACGTGCCCCTCGTGCAGGGATGGCAAAGACAAGGAGGTAGAGACGGTGGGGAGCAATGAAGGCTGCAAGAAGCTGGGCTGGTTTGGTTGAAGAAGAAAAACCTGCAGCTAATCAATGCTACCTAGGTCCTGCTCCAGGAAAGAGGGGGGCATTTTAAAACTACGGTGCTGGGGTCTGATCTGGGTTGGGGCGACGCGTATGAAAGCTGTGGGCACTGGATCCAGCCCTGAGTGGGGATGGTGCTGGCTCTGCCCTGCACTCCTCGCAGCCGCGGGAAAACCAGATGAGGATCTTCATGCAGCCGCTGCAGGTCAGCCCCCGGCGTGGGAGCGGGTGAGCGGGGCTGAGGGGCTGCACTCACCACCCGGCCCCACTGCTGGTCTTGCGTCAGGGCATCTTATTAATTCAGAGGTGGAATAATAAGCCCTGGGACAGCAGAATTGCTGTTTGTGGGTCCAGCCTGGAGCGAGATCAGTCTCGAGCAGGAGGAGGCCCTGGCTCCAAGGGGGCTCCGGCTGGGGTGCCAGCCAGGATCTCGTAGGGCGAGGGGCCGAGCGTGGTGGCAGAGGTTGGTGGTTTTCACGGTTTTACAGGCTCCTGCAAAACCCAGGCACACACTGCATGGAGGAGAGGGAGCCACTGGCGGGACACGTCCCAGGGCTCAGCACCCAGAGCCCTCCAGGCTGGGCCAGCCTCTCTGCAGCCACAGGGGCTGCTCATGCTTCAAAACCATTCAGATAAGGTTTAAAAAAATGCCCCTCATTGGAGGGAGCTGGCCGGTTCTGTGCCTTGATGGCACCTCCCCTGCCCGCCATGGCGGGAGGCTGATGCCAGCCAGAGCAGCTACGCTGGGGGTCTGGGGAGGGAGGACAAAGCCGGGGCGGTTTCTGGGTGCAGGAGACCTGGGGCGGTGCTGCGGGTGGTCCCGGCACGCAGGCTGTCCCCGCGGGTGATGAGGCCGGCGTAGCCCTCCTGGTGGGAGAAGGCGTAGCTGGAGCGGCGGTGGAAGGAGCCGCGAGGGACGTGGGCACGCAGCTCCACCAAGGGCTCCGGCTCCCGCTTGGCCTTCAAGCGGATCTTCTGCAAGGAGATGGGGAGGTCAGGGCTGTGACCACCTCGCAGGCAAGCCCCCCCACCCCAAGGCAGGACACACAGCACAGGGACCCCCTCCACCGAGACATAGTTTGGCTCCCAGCTCCACCATGACCTGAGTTACCATGATGGGACACATAATGTGGGGACCCTCCCAGGGGGTCTAAAAAGCTCCCGGAGCTCTGGAGCACGATCTCAACTCCTGCTCTCATCTGGGACCTTTTTGTACCACCAGGAAGGTATCATCCACAACCCAGATGGGGATGAGCTCTTCCAAGGCTGGGGGTGGCACCAAGACCTGCATCAGACCCCAGTGCCTGAGTGTCAGGTCCGGAGAGTCCCGAAGGCCTGTTCCTTACTGCAGCCAAAAGCAGACCCTCTCCAAGAGCTGAAACCAGGGTCTTGCCCCAGGGCCATGAACCCATTTGGGGAGAGGGCTCTGGAGCCAGACTTGGGCACCAGTGTCACGAGAGACCACCACCAGCTGAGCGGTGCCACTAAGGAGCGTTGACACGTCCCACCACTACAGTCCAGGCAGTGGCTTCCCTGGGCAACCTCATCCTTCCCATGACCAGGAGCACCGTGACCAGCCCCGGACACCAACGGCAGCAGGAGGCAGACCCCCCCACCCCACGCCAGCCCCTGCACAGCCCTCACCTGCGCGGCAGTTTTGCCTGTGATGGTGCGGTACACGTGGATGGTGAGCGAGGGGATGGTGTTCACAACCAGGGACAGCAGGACCACGAGCAGGACGTAGGGGTCAGTCAGGGCATTCTGGCTGGCATCTGTCAATGAGAGAAATCGGTGGGCGTTTTTAAGTAGGGAAGGTGGAGAGAACAGAGGGAGCAACTGTTGGGGAACAGGCCCCCTCCCATGGAGGTGTTGAGGTGTCTAAAGAGGAGACGGCACCTAAACTGAAGTCAAAAATCAAGGCAGCGAGATCGAGAAGTGGCGATGAAGAGATGATCTACAAGGTGGGAAATGGCTCATAGCACCAAACCCAAGCTGGGCTTCCCTGGCTGGGACAGGGAAGGACCGTGGGGGTCCCTGGGGCATCTCACCTGGGAAGCAGAAGATGGCAGGGGCTACCCTGAAGGCATCAATGCTTTGGGTCAGGAAGGAAAAGAGGCAGAAGAGCAGCAGACTGGCTGTGACCATCAGGAAGGACAATGCCGTCCAGAACTTGGTGTCCAGGACGATCTGCAGGGATAAGTGCAGAGCACACAGCGTCTCATGGAGGCGGCAGGGACCCTCTTCCATTTGACGGCTTGTCCCGAATTCCTCCCCTGCCTCAAGGGAGATCACCCCCCCAGCCACAAAGCTGCTGGGGATGGTGTCAGAGAGCTCAGGGCTGCAGTCCTTAAACATTTACTGCTGGGCCAGGATGGGGAAGGGCAGATCAGCGCTCACCTCTATGAGGACCGATAGCAGCGCTGACGTGGCCACCGTGACGGCGAAGGACTCGTAGTCGCCAACAGCCTTGCTGCCAACGCGGTCCTCGAAGGCCCAGAGTGTGATGTAGAAGCTGGCGAGTGAGGTGCTGACCCCGTGCAGCAGGGTGACACCAAAAACGCGGTAGTTGAAGAGCTCATCTTGCTGCCCAACCACATAAAGCTCAGGGAACTCCAGGCTCTTCTTGGCACTCACATCCTGCCAGGAGAGCACCAAGCATCACCCTCCCCACCCACACTGGGGAGCAGGATTGGGCCGCCCCACCCAACAAACCCTTGGGTGAGTCCCTCCACCTGCTTCCTCTGGGGCGATGGGGAACAGGGGCACCCCAAGACCGGTGGTGAGCTCCAAATCCCCATCGAGAGGCTTGGAACCACGTCCCAACACAAAGAAGCGTGCAGATGGGGTGCAACGGCCGCTGGGCTGATTCATACCCGCTGGGGATGCAACATCCAGGCCCAGGGGCTGGGTGCAGCCCGAGGAACCCATACCTGCTCCAGAAGGCCCACAGACAGCACGGGGTAGGCAGTATAGAAAATGTTGTAGAGTGCAAGGAACCAGCCCTCGTACAGAGGCTAGAAGGGAGAAGAAAGCAGCTGTGAGCTCAGTAGTGCTTTGGAAAGACTCAGAAAGGGTGCCTAGGCACCAGGGGTGAGCCAAAGAGGCTCACACCCAAACTCTGGGGAAATCTCCACAGACTTGCCCCACATTGTTGCAGTGACCACGGGCCGTGCTGCAGCCACACAGTGGTGGTCAAGTCACACTGATGGCCCTTGGGATAGAAGCTCCCATTTTAGAGGAAACCAGCTTAATGCATGTGGGAGCTTTCCCTGTGTCTATCTGAGACTGAGCTGCAGCTCACAAAGACATCCCGAATCTCCCCAGGATGATTTTCCCAATCCGGCCAGGTAAGAGGAGGATAACCAGTTGCATCTCAGCCAGACACTGACGTGAACACGTGCCCGTCAGACAGTACCAGCCCCGAGACCTGCGTGGGATCCTCAGCAGGGGGTTTGAAACACCGGTGTGCAGACCTCCGTGGGATGGATGGGACCCCTGTTAACGGCAGCATCCCTCACCTGAGCTGTGAATCCGCTGTGGAAAGCGAACCAGACCTGGGCCATGAGGCCAGCAAAGGTCTTGTAGAAGAAGTAGCGGAGGAACTTGCAGATGCGGAGATACGCCCAGCGGCCGTGGATGAGCAGGAGCCGCTGGAGGTAGGAGAACTGCGCCAGGGCGTAGTCGCTGCACTGCACGGCTTGCATGCCCTCCAGCCCGCTGATGCCCACCCCGATGTCAGCGGCTGCGGAGGACAGGGGGGTGTGAAATGCCGGTGGGGAGGTTTTTCAGGGGATTGAATTTCCCTGTGGATTTCCCCCAGGCTGATGGGCAGAAGGTAAATCCAGGAGTGACGGGCAAAGGGAAGAAGCTGCCGCTACCGCATGCCACGGCTGCCGGAGTGACATGCCAGGCACCACCACTCCCCACCAGTGGGATGCACTGGCTGAAACCCCCCAGTCCCCCCCTGCCCCAAACCTCACTTTTGATCATGTTGACATCATTGGCGCCGTCCCCAATAGCCAGTGTGGTGGCCTTCTTGTGCTTCTTAACCAGCTGCACGATGAGGGCTTTCTGCTTGGGGGTCACCCTGCAGCAGATCACTGCCTGGCAGCTGGTGGCCAAGTCCACAAAGGCCTTCTCCACCAGGCTGCCCTGCTCCTGTGAGCCTGTAGTCTTGAAACAAGCCAGCCGCCGCCACAGCCGCCCCTTCTCCTTCAGCACCTCTCCCGTGTGGAGGATTTTGTCCTTAGGGGAGAAGACATGTGGTTGGGACCTCACCCATTGCCTTCATGGCATGAGGGCCCCCAGCTCCTCAACGATGTTCTTAAATCTCGTAGGTGCTACAAAGGAGTGACCCCAGTTTTCTCCAAGTTCAACACGCAGCAGGCACTGTGACCATGAGACCAGTTTATCCCAGTATGACCAGGAGAGCATGCGATTACCCACCAGCCTGAGTCATCCCAAAAGACCAGGCAGGCAGGTGTGGTCAAAGCCCCGCCAACGCCAAATGATGGGTGCAAGGTTGTCCTCCTCTTCCCTTTTCATTCCCCAACCCAAAATGGGCTTTTCCCACCCCTTGGACAGGAGGAGCATCACCTCCTCCACGTGCTGGTGCCAGCCAGGACTCTGACAGCACCAGGGCAGAAATGGCAATCTACCCGTGCAGGCAGGGAGCAGAGAAGAGCATCCGAGTGCCACCTTACCAGGAAGTCCCCACTGATGATGAGAGCTCTCTTCTTGTGGCACGAAGCCTCTGGGCGCTGCTGGGAGAGGCGGCCGCTGCACAGGGCTTCCCCGCTGCCGCTGAGGTTGTTGTTGCTCACCCAATAAACCTTGAGGATCTCGCTGTGCGAGGAAGGGGTGGTTGGAGTTGAGCCGGGGGCACTGGGCTCACTGCCTGGCTTTCACTGGGACCTACAGTTGGCCTTTGCCATCTCAAATCCAGCTCCGGGGAGGTGGAGTTGGTACCCGGTGGTGGGAACAGAGGGGACAGAGAGGGGGCCCCAAGGGCTCACTGATATCAGAAATCAGCCTCTGTCCCTGTGGTCTAGAGGCTGGAGAGACAATGTAAGCTCTTTCTGGTCAAAGCCTGCTAGGGAAGAGAATGCTGCAGGGGCAGAAACAGATGGGGAGGCCTGGAAAAGCATCGGGTCATGGACATCCAGGCTGGGACAGGGAAGGAGAAACATCTCTGCCAGAGTCCAGCTCTGCCCATCCTGAAAGGGTTCCTATGCCCTCGGGTATCTTCAGTGGGACAACAGTGTCCTGAACCAGGAGGCCACGGTTCCTCACCTGATCTCCTTCTCCTCCAGGATCTCCATGTCGCCCGTCAGCAGCTTGCACGCGTAGCCAATGTTCATTGCGGTCTCTGCAACACGCAGGTGTCAGTGGCCGATGGCCACGTGGTGCTGCCCCCTCCATCCTGGGCAGCCCCCAGCCCTTGGGTCCTACAGCCCTCGGTGGGCACCAGCTGCTGGGGGCTCTGCTCCAGCTCCGTGCCACCGCGCAGATGGCTTCCCCTGCCTCAGTTTCCCCGTGGGCGACATGATCTGTGGGATGTGCTATTACTTTATATTACAGGGAACATCAGAACCTGGTTGTTGCCCACTCCCAGGGTCTCATCTCTCTTCTCTGGTCCTGGTTAGGGGAAAAGCTGAAGCGTGTTGGTGGGGTCTGGCGTTGCCTCCACTGACCTTGTTTATCTCCCGTTAGCACCCACACTTTAATGTTGCCCAGTTTCAGCAGCTGGATGGTCTCAGGGACTCCATCTTGCAACTTGTCCTCGATGGCCGTGGCCCCAAGCAGCTGGAAGGAGGGTAAGTGGGTGTCATGCCGTGGGACAGGGCGAGATGCAGAGGTGGGACTTGCCCCTGGATCCAACCACAGGTCCATGCCCGTGGGTGGACACGACCTGACAGATCTCTGAGTGTCTACTGGCATTTCACCAAGTCACCCTTGGGGGGCAACTCCACCTGCCCTCCCACCCAGGGAACGGGTGCTGGGTTGGAGACTTCACTCCCTCATCCTGGGAAGCAAATCCCCACACTCCTGCCCTCCATGGGACCAGCACAGCCGGTTCCTCCTGAACCCCAGCCTCATCCCACCTGCAGGTTCTGCTCCATCTCCTCATACAGCTTGTCCAGCTCCTGTGCGCGGTCCTGCAGCAGGATGCTGGCCTCGTGGTACCTCCTGCTCCATACGCTGTACTCGACCTCGCTCACCTCCTTGCTGGCCAGGCACAAAGTCCTCAGTGTCTCCTCTGCAAAGCGCTGCAGAGATGAGACATCAGGTTTCCCTTCTCTTGACTGAGATGATTTTCCTGATGGACCAGGGCATCCTGCCAGCCAGCCAGGATGCTCCCATGGGCAGGGACAGAGACCCTCCAGGATCTGAGGGTCTCTCTCTGGGCACTGACTCCCTCCCCCATCCTATAGCATCCCCCATGAGCATCCTTGCAATGCAGCTGGTCCATGCAGAACACTGAAGGTGGATTTGATGCCCTCTTAGCCCCTGTCCCATATGCAGGTAAGGCTCCTAGAGCAGAAGGAAGAAGGAAGGACCAAAATCCTGAAGCCAGAGGGAGAAAGAGCAGCAGGGGACTCCAGAACACCCAGCTCAAAACCAGCAGCAGGGAGACCTGCCCTTTCCACCTCAGACTGGCATGGGACTCACATCCAGCGCCATCTCAGTGAAGGTCTCATTGGGCCCTCGCCGCTGCAGTCTCTCCAGGATGACGGTGTCAGCCCCCTTGGTGTAGAGCCGGATTGTGCCCTGGGGGTCTCGCACTGGGAGGGAGGGGAAGGACAGCTTAGGTACCCAGAGACAGATCCCACTCATCGCTCTCCCCATCAATGGCTGAGCTGCAGAAGGTGCCACGGGGGACACCAGTGCTTTTCTGCTTGCAGTCATAGGAAGCACAGGAATGTCCCCAAATCTACACCGCCATGAGGTACCATCAGGCTTCAAGGACTGTCAGTTCCTCACCCGCCTCCTCTGAGCCCCTGATTTACTTGCTCTCTCTTGGCTGCTCAAACCTGTCACCAAGGTATCAGGGTGAGCAAAACCACAGAGATGACCAGGACAGTCCTTAGGAGTCCCTGTGCCAGTTGAGGTCAACCACAGCCATCCCGTTGGCATCCCTTGCAGGGTTGGGTATGGAAGGGACCCTCCGTGTTCCTGGAGGGCCCCCTCCCTCAGACGCCCTGTCCCGCTCACCCAGGACAGACATCCTCTTGCGATCGCTGTTGAAGTCCAACATGGCCAGCACTTTGTACGTCCTCTTCACCCCCAGCTCGCTGATGGTGATGGTGTCTTGCGTTCGGGCCAGAAAGACGTACCCCAAGTTCCTGGCTGCCAGCACCAGCGCTTCTTCATCTGGTGAAGCTGCCTGATAAACCAGCTGGTCTGCACAAGAGGAGTAGGGGTTAGACAAAGATTCCCAGCCAAGCAGCTCTTGGACATCTGAAATACCCTGTTCTTGCCCAGCACCAACATTATCTATGGAGATCCTACAGTCCAAGCCACCAGGCTTGGGAAACTCAGTCCTGCTTTCTTATGTCTTCTGCTCATTATCCCAGGCAGGACAAGTTCCCAGACAGGGATAGATTATCTCTCCTGTGCTTCTGTTCCAACTAATTAGCTAATAAACCCAAATGTACACGTTTGTGATGCAAGGACCGTGGCCCAAAGCATCCCCGGGCTCTCACGCCACCTGCACCCCCACAGCAGAGCTTTGCTGGGTGATGCAAGAAGTCACCGCGGCCTCAATGCCTTGAACAGCAGCTCGACCCCACTCGGAGCGCGTCGACCACCGCGGCCAACCCACCACCCTTCTCCTCCACCATGACGGTGTGGCAGAGGGCCAGCAGCCTCAGGAACTCCCTCAGCACGGGGTCGCTGTCCCGCCGGGCAGCTTCCAGCAGCGTTGAATCGCAAAAGTCCAACTTCTTCTCCCCACGGTGGCTCCAGGTCAACCCCGACCCCTGCAAGAGGCATGGGCAGGCTGCAGGAGCCCGGGAGAGAGACCGAGGATGGGGCTCTGCACGGGGGATGCGGCTGGCTTGCAGTACAGCCACCCTGGGCTGGCACAGTCCGATCCAGATCGGAGTCCGTAAGCCAAGCTCTGCCCTGCCTACACAAAGGGGCTGAGTATAAAAAGGTTGGAAATAAAAAAAAAATTAAAAAAAAAAAAAAAAAAATTGGAACTGCATTATTTTATACACCAGGTTCCCCTGTCCTTAACCAGCAGCTGAGAACTGGCAAACTCGCCTGCCCGAGGAAGCACGTGCCTCTCTGTTACAGCATGGGACCCCACTGTAAGCAAGCTGTGCCCCAGAACAAAAGGCTGGTCCTGCTGCCGGTGTGATCAATAACTGCTACAGCTTTGGCCCCGATGAGGAGCAGCATCCAGCCCCACGCTACATGGGAGAGGAGAGTTACGCACCGATGGTTGCTTGTTCTCACAGTCTGTGCCTGTACCTGCCAAAATAAAAATAATTCCATTAACAGAGAGCTGACAGGGGGCCTCACTAGGAAGGGCTTGGAGCAGTTTCTTTAGATGGGACTGCTGCTTTTGCTGGTCAGAAGCCTGGCAAGAAGGGATCTGCTCAGTGCAGATCCAGCATCTGCTCAGTGCCGGTCATGAGCCAGACTCTGTTAGGATGTCCAGGTTTGACTTATTTGGCTCTTGTACTGTTCAGACTTTCTACACGTTTTTAATGTTAAAAATTCAGGTCTAGCCTTCATCCACGTTTCCCGGGAGACTCTGCAGTTGGCCAGAGACTAGTGGGATTATGGCGATGCTGCTATCACAGAGGTGCAACACAATACATCAGGCAGGGGAAAATTGGTTTTATTCCTGCTTAAAAACCTTTGCTAGATTTTTTTTTTCCCCCTCTTTGCTTTTATCACTGTCCATTTGTCTCAAGTGCCTGATACTTTCCTGATCCTCAGGAAAAAGGAGCTCCATGCTAAAGCTCTGGCCCACCCCACTTGCTAAATTTCACTAATTAAACACTGAAACAGCTCCCAAAAGCCAGCTGAGAGCTTGAGTAAGTATATCAATAAGAAAAGGAAGAACTTGGCAATTCTTGGGCTTCTAAGGGGAAAACCAAGCAGAATCATAAAAAAATCCCAAAGAGTAAGCACATGCGTTCACTGTAAAGAAACAATATATTGGAAATAATTATTTCTTTCCCTCCTCCATAGGTCACTTGAAAGCCTCAGAGTGCCCAGATTTGGAAACCAAGCTGGAGATCCACCAGAAAATGATGCAAAGAAAAGCAAAACCTCCTTTTTCTCTATGAGACCTTCATAGAAAATTAAAATCCATGGGCCTCACTGGCCCATCACCTCGTGGCTCCTCTGTCTGCCCAGTCCTGGACACCTGGGCCAGCATCAGATAATTATTCCAGGTGGGATCCACCTCACTCAGAATATGTGTTTGCCATGTAGCTGTGCTGAGCTCCTCACCCCAGGCTCCCTTTTGTACCAGGGAAGACCTAGCTGATCTCAGCTGAGTTTGGGGCACGATACATCTCCTGGAAGGTGGGCGCCCATTTCAGGAGGGCAGAACTGTGCCCTGACTCAATGCATTGGGAGCACAAGACAACTGTGCCTGCAGGTGTTGTGGCCCCTGCAAAGCACCAGTAACATGGGAGATGAGAACAAGCTGAATTCCTACAGCTTCTGCTTACACACTGGACCACCAACATCAATCCACATGCCCCAAGCTTCCTAGCAAGCCAGGAGTGGAAATAACCAAAGTGGCCTAAATTCAAGGTCTACCTCACGTCTCTACAAACTTGTGTCCACCAAAAGTTACCATAGATGGTCCCATTGATGCAGCACTTCTTGAAGCTCATAACATTTTGTGTCAAGGTGCCAGTCTTGTCCGAGAAGATATATTCGATCTGGCCGAGCTGATCATTGAGGCTGGTGCTTCTGGCTTTTGCTGGAATGTCCTTGACAGCGTAATACATTCCCAGATCCCAGTTGATAAAAAAGCTGTTCACCAGATAGATGAATTCAAACCTAGAGGGTGAGATGGAAGTAAACTTATGCTGGGGAAGAAGATGGCATTACTTGCATCCCAGGGACACTTGGGGGTCTGACACAGGAAGAAAGGGCAGAGGGGGACTCCCCACCACGATCGTATTGCTCTGAGCTTGGGAGAAGCAAGAGGGTTTTCATTGTTTGTGGCCAGTTTTCCAGAAAGCTCATCACACCAGACTGAGAGCTCACGGGGTCCCAGGCAGCTGGGCATCCCTCTGAAAATCTGGCCCTTGATGATACAAATTCATAGATCTGGAGATTCAGTGAAGGGCTGAAAAGTTTGGAAACTGCTTCTTCCAGCACAAATTGTGATTATTGCCTGCTCAGAACGGCTGTGCCCTTCCTCTTCCCCACCCTGCTGCTGCTGCTCAGTGGGGAAACATCACCTTCATGAGTCTCAACCTCAGCCTGCCCACAAATTCCAACATCAGTACGTGTCTTTGCATTTCTTTTCTGGCTTTTCTCTGGGAAGATCTCAAAGCACTTCATCAATGTTTGTAAGATACACACCCCATCCATCCTTACCCTCTTACGGCTAAGGGAACACATGGGAATGACTTGCTCAGGGCCACGGCTGGATCTCTGTGCAGCCCCATTTTGTGGCTGTAAACCAAGGTGCCAGCTGATGGCCAAGGACGGGGAGTGGGGCACTGCCTTCCGATCACTTCCAAGTTCTGTTTTTTTCTTACGTTATATACATGGACATGGGTATGATGATGCTCAGGAGGATCGTGAAGCCCCAGAAGTTGAAGAAGGCCTGCTGGGCAGGAGTTGTGTGTTTGTAGAGAGCAGAGAGGTAGCTGTGCTTCTCCTGGAACATCCTGGCCCAGAACCCAGAGGCAACGGCGAGGCCCAGCGACGTGACCAACAGCACCAGGAAGATCTGAGGTGGGAAGCCAGGATGACAAAGTCCCATCACACAGAGCCCACCAGACTCTTTTCTAGGACCAACCATTGCCCCTCCCAGACTCTTTGTCACATTTAGCTGTAAGCCTGCGGAAAGGTGTTCTTGTGCCTGAAATTGGCTCTCAGAGCTCATTCTGGGCTGAGGTGAAGGATTGCAGCACCTATTTCAGCTCGACACGTCTGCCACATACACACAGCAAACCCCAACTTTCCCACCCTCCTAAATGCCTCAGACACCATCTCCCTGGACACGGGGTGTCCTACAGCCTTCCAGCTGAAGTACCAGGACTGCTACTGGCCCATCTGAGAAGTGATGGCACTCAACCCCCAGGGAGAGGACTAAGAGCCATCCAGTTCCTCGTTATGACCGTGCTGCTTTGCTTCCCGCGGAGGAAAGGCTCCTCCTTCCTCTGTCCTCCATCTGCTCCGTGCTGAGCCACAGCCCGCAGCCCCCCCAGCACAAGGCACCCCCCCCGGGACCTGCACGGTGAGGCACTAGAAAAGCAGGCCGGGAGGGGTTGGAGATCCTGAATACTGCAGCTCCGTGGTTCAAGTCCTCTACAGCCGAGGACACAGAGCTACCAGGGTCCAGGGTTTAAGCAACACAACCATGATGCAGACTGCTCCAGACCCAGCAACTGCCACTTCCTGGGAACGTCAGCTTGGTATTTGCTCATGAAACGTTAAACGCAAGATATTTTGAACAGAATATCGCAAGCTTAAGAAAATCAGCATCAATCACCCAAGCAAGAAGCCTTTCCTGAGAAGACCTAGAAAGCCCAGGAGGCCGGTGGACCAGGGCGGGAGGTGTTTGCACCACACTCACTATGATCACCAGCCGGTCCATCATGCGGTCCAGCTTGGTTTTCTTCCGCTTGATCTTTCCACAGTTCCTCATAATTTTGGAATCAAATCCTGGACGAGAAACATTTTAGAAGTAAAGACGCAAGTCCACAGCCCCGTGGAGGTTGACTTGCAGCTAAGTGATGCTGGTTTCCTCCACAGCAACAGCTCCCCCCCCCTCTGAAAACCTCAGAGGACTGCATCTCCTGATCAAGCTGTGGCTGCACACTCGGGGAAGTGCTGCTTACTGCAGATCCTACCCCTCCTACAAAATGCATGAGGCCACAAAGTGGAATGGATCCGGGACATGATGCAGGTGAAATATAACCTGGGATGAGTAGAAGTTTGGTACCACCACATCATCTCCCTGCCAGCAAGTCCAACACCAACAAAGCTTAGGACAAACTTCAGGGGGGGGGGGAGCGGACAGGGGGGGCGTCGGTTACAGCTGCAGGTCCTCCCATTTTTGCATCAGCTGGGAATGGGACCTGCTGATGCCAGAAGCACTTGGGCAGCTTAAAATCCCCGGGAACCTGAGTGTTTTCTGTCCTTCCCGATCTGGGCCCGGGCACTCACCTGCGTAGATAACCAAGCCGTAGCAAACGTCGGTGTTGCGAAGCTTGCAGCCTCGCAGCAAGATCCTTTCGCTGTCGAGCGAGTAGGTCTCGCCCCTCCACTCCAGCGTGCCGGTGAAGCTGTGCATGCGGCTGTTGGGCTCCTCGCAGGTCACTCTCCCTTGAGCAGAGGGCACAATTCAGGTGATGGTGCTGGGGGAAATAAGAGGACCTTCCTCTCCCTCATCCCCCATGCCTGCCCCCCTCCAAAGAGGGGTGCTGGGGGCTTCTCAGGGAGATTCAGGTTTTGTCAGGGCATCTCCAGGTACAGTTGGGATATGGACGGCTCAAATTAAGGCTAAGCAGGAGGGCCACCCCGCAGTGCTGGGAGGGTGCTCAGCCCAGGAACCGCACTGGGCTATAAATACTGGAGAAGGTACAAACACAACCCCCTTCATCCCCAGAGCCTCTGAGAGGAGAGTCTGCGTCCTATGGAGGTCTGAGCTCAGGTTTGGGAGCCAAGCACTTGATTCCAGTGGGGAAATCAAGAGCCAGGGCAGGGGGAAGGTGCACAACCCCGATGGCCCCATCACAGAGACACTCTGCTGGGGAAGGGCCTCCACGCAAGGTCTCTGGCTCCTTGCAGACTGGAGCAAATGCAACCTCCCGCTGGACTGAGGACACTTGGTGCCCGAGGGGACAGAGACTTCCCGAGGCTGAACCCTTCCCATCCCAGCGGGCTGGCCGCATCCTCGCCTCTCCGGGAGACTCACCATCAAAGGCAGCCATGCTCTCCTCGCTCACCAGCTCCTGGTGGGTGGCCAGAAGGGCTTGTCTGAACTTCAGGTTTGTTTCCCTGCGAACAAGAGCCAGAGAGGGAAAGATAAGACGACCCTGTGGGGTGACAGAGTTGTTAATTCTGCTCTCAGACCCATGGGATGGAGAGAGCCATTAATTATCAGGTGATTACATGAGTGATTGCAATGAAAAGCGAGCTAGGGATCTATCATGCCAGACATCGAGCACTCATGCAGGGAGAGAGCCCTGGCCTGGAGACCCTGCCATTAAATCATCCTGCCGAGGGAGGCGGGAGGCATGGGCAGCTGCTCTCCTCAGCCTGGCTGGGAGGAAGCCAAGAGATGGAGGGAGATGCTCGAGGTCACAAGCTGTGCTGCGGAAGCCTCAAAAGTGTTTTTGGAGTCCCATTTTCAAAATCTGGGGCTCGGATCCCATTTCTGGGGCGTCTGTAGGTTTAGCTTCCAGAGGATTCCCCACAGCCCGTGGTTTCTGCTGAACTTGCAGCCCTCCCAGCCTGCCTGAGCCCCCAGTGCCAGGGGATCCGCAAGGCTGGAGGCTTCACCCACTGACTGGGATGTCTCTGTCCCTCTCCTCCCGTGGTAACGGTGGGCCCCTGCCCCTCTCCTTACCCATCAATGTCGGCAGTCTCCACGTAGCACAGGCTGCTGGGCTCCGAGCTGCACAGCAAGAGCATATCGGCCTTGGAGAGCAAAAAGGGGGAGAGAGCATCTGGCTGAGCTTCTCCTCACCAAACCCCCCCACTACTATGCCTGGCACACAGAGAGCTCCAGGCCACTCACCGGGACCAAGCTCTCCTTACGCAGGCGGACGATGTCCCCGACGCAGATGTCGCGCCATTTTTGCCAGCGGAAGCTGCAGGAGAATTAGGAGGGAAAATTTTATCCTTGAAGGGCTTTGGGAATGGACGCTGTGGCTGTTTCTGTCCTCTGGGCCAGCCTGTGTCTGTCCCAGCTTCTTGCATGAATGGGATCTCTGGACTGTTGATTCCTCTGCCACCGTGGTGGCCTCCCATCTGCCGAGCACCGAGGATGGCACGGGACCCATTTGTCACATCCATATCCCCTGTACCCACGGGTGGCAAGGACTTTCAGCCCCCTGGACACCGGTGGGAAATGTTGGTCCTTCCCCAAATCAGTGCTTAGCAGTGATAGGACTCCATGGATTAAATATGAGGGCATGAAGGAACTTATGTGGCCAAGGAGACCCTCCTCCAAGCATACCACAGCAAATCAGGGCTTTTTTTAGACCTGTTGTCTGTGACTGAAGTATGATCATCCCTACAAGGGAACAGCTGGGCCTGCGGCAGATTTTGGGAAGCGATGGGAGTTTGCAGAGTCAGGGACAGTCCCCCCAAACCCCTTCCCAGCTGCTCTGCTCAAGGATGCTCAGTGCTTCAGATGATCCATCGTTCTACACGGGCCTGGAAAACACAGGTACAGCTTCCCAAAGCCCCTCACCTCTTCCCAGACAGGATTTCACATGGCCTGCTGTTGATGTTTCTGTCACTTTGGTGACGGCCCTGCAGAGAGGCGAGAAAGAAAGAGGCCAAAAGAAAGGGTTGGGCCATGCCAGACTTACTCGTCCCATGAAAACAACCCTCTTAATGCTACAGCTTGCCTCCTCAGCCCCAGGGCAAGACCTGATTTCTGAAGCAATCAGAAGATGTATTCTGGTGAATAAAGAGGCTAAATTCCCCCAGGGTATTTCTGGGGACCAACCTGGGAATATAGCCATTGCTTAAGAAATCAGAGATGGGGATCTATACCCCGAGGAAAGCAACTGGCTGGTCACATCCTTCCCAAGGGATAATACAAAGCAGTTTGGACATGGTAGAGTTGATGGTACCTCAGAAACGATGAATGACAGCAATTCCCAAGCTTTTCAGTTCACTGCTGATCATTGCCCCCCAGAACCTGTGCCGAACAGTCACTTCACAACCCATACTCACAATGTCATCAATCAGGTCTCGTAGACCCCGGATGGTGAGAAGGCAGCTCAGGGGGAACAGCAGAGTGTACCAGGGCAACGTGGAGATCTCAGGGAAGGTCTAGAGAAGGAGAATTTTACACCACTGACACAACTTTCATCCCACCTTGGGATGTATGAGGTGACTGAGTAACTCCTCCTTGCTCCCAGCTCCTCTCCCTAGCCAGTGCTGAGGACAGCAGGACCCATCTAAGAAGAATCAAATCAACATTTCTGTCTAGAGAGAACTGCTTTGTTGAATTTCCATCTCTTTTTAAAGTGGAGGTGTGAAATACATGTGGGTCCCTGAATGTGGAGGGTAGGATTTCTATTTCAGTGTGATCTACATGAGCTTTGCTTGCATCCAAACCAAGTCAAAGTAACCAAACTTAACATAGGTTAAACCCCTCAAAGTTCACGAAAGACAATGAACCCCACTGAAAAGCAGCATCCTCAGCACCATTTGAGACCAGGGTCCCCTATTCTAAACACCAGACAACCCTCCTTTGCTAGGCAGGCTCACACACACTTGCTCTTACCTTGGTGTTAATCTCACCTGTAAAAGGATGACAAAGACAAAGTAGACGTTGGCCATTCGGTGGAACTGCTCATAGAGGTTCAGCGGCAGGAAGGTAAAGATGTTGTACTTGGCTGTCTTAATAGCGTTGCCCTGCAGAAGAAAGCCAGGTCAAAGCCACAGTGGGAGTCCAGCCACATGAAAGCTAGGATGTGTTTTGAAAATGCCCAAAACATTTTGATGTTTTTAGGACGTCTCAACTTTTCATGCTGTAAGAGACGCCATTAAAAATTTACCAAAGCCATAAAGAAAAAAAAGAGGTTTATTAGAGCAAAGTGCTATATAAAATTGAAACAAAATATTTTGCTCCTGATCATCTAAAGCGTATTTAACTGACCCCCAACTAGATGGTCATTATTTAGCTGGGAAAAAAAACATCTGGTTTTGTTCAATCAAAACTTTTAAAAAAATCTTTCTATTGATTTGACCATCAGACTAAAAATTATCCTTCAGACAGTTCTGCTCCTTGACTGACTGCTTCAGAGGGCATCTGGGGCACTAGGCAGGAAGCAGCCCTTCCTCTCCATTGAGGCTTACCCGTGTGATGCTCCATCCTACTGGAGATCACTCTGCAGCATCTCTGTCATGTCCCCCCCACCCCCCACCAGCTCTGAGTAAAGAAATGGCCCAGGAGTGGCCCAGGCTGACTCACCGCATATTTCTTCTTGGTCAGACAGAAGGCAAATTTCTTCTTGAATTGCATGTGGTAGTTTCGGTCGTTGGCCCTCACCTCCCAGGTGAAAGCTGGAAAAGCAAGTAAATACCCAGCAGCTCTCATCAGATCCAGGCCATGGACATCAGCCTCTGGCCCCTGAGGACACAAGGACCAGTGACGGTGCCACTGGGCTCACGGTGACCCACTGCTGGTCAGATGGGCTTTCCACAGAGCACTTACACCTTGAGAGATGCTGGAGGCACAACTGGGACAGAGCTGGATCTTTGGGATCAGCTGGGTTACAGAGTGGATTAGAGGAGGCAGGAGGCCAGAAGCTTCCAGAGATGGAGGACAGCAGTGCACGCTTCCCCTCTGAGCCCCAGGCTAACCCTTTGGGCTTAGGTTTTGCTTTAACAGTATAACCAGGCCAGGTGAAGGACGACTCCTCCAAGCACAGTCTTTGCTGTTCTGAAGACTGGTCCTTCATCTCCTGATTTCATTTTTGCTATCCCAGTGCAGATACTGCCAAGCAAGGGACATCCCAGGCATGTTCCCCAACTCCTGCAACCCAGCTGACGGTCCATCCTTTCAGACCATTTCACCCCAAATCTGCTGCTTCCCCATCTCACAACCCTGCCCACATTCAACTTTCTCATAAACTGTCTGAAAAAAAAGAAAAACCCCAAAAGACACTCATTGCACACTGACCTGGCAGCTGCTTCTTTCCATGCAGGCAGCCTGGGGCTGGGTCCTGCTCAGCCATGCTGGCACTGCTGCCAGGATCTAGGAACAAGGACAAGCACAGATATTTGAGCAATGACAACATGATCCCACTGGGATGCTTCAAAATGCCAAAGCTGGATCCTCCACCTCTCCAAGACAGGACATCGTGCAGATGGGACACTCTTCTGCACACAGCTGGGGATGGGTGTCTTCCCCAAGCTGCAAACTTACTTAGACCTTTTTATTACCCCAGAGATGTAAAACCCCACACTGACATGCAGTCCTCTGTAGCCATCTGAGTGTCACAGATCAGTGACATCAGGCTGAATATTTGTTATCAGGAAATGTCTTTCTCCCTTTAATGCCCGATGTTCTTTTCCCTGCCTTCTGCAGGACCGGCCACAGCTCAGATCTGAATTGAAATCCACTTCACCCGGGCATTTTTTTCCAACAGTCACAGAGTCACCCTTCACGGGTGCCTTATGCTTACTCAAATCTTGTGTGGGCATTGGTGCTGGGGGTTGCCTGGATAGACCCCCTGCCTTCTCAGTGGCCTCAGGGATGCTCGACAGCTTTGGCATGGGCCATCTTTCAGACCCACCTTCGTCCAGTCCCAGCTGCCCCTGACAACTCAAAGACATTTTTCCTCTCTGAAGAAGTTATGGGAAATCATTTGAAGTCATCAGCGAGGAATAGAAACTCTCCCCATCCTGCCATCACACCCGAGCATCCGTCATGCCTAGAGAGCAGCCACCTTCATCAATGACAAGATTTCCCTTACGCTCAGTAGCTCAGTGACCTTCCCTGCAGGGATGTTAGGGAAGATTAATTAATGTTTGTGAAGCGCTTTGTGATCCTTACATGAAAGGATTCAGTGAGGTATAAAGCATTAATTAACTTATTATTAAATAATCCCACACAGAAGTCTGTCCCTGCCATTATTTTTTATCTCACTCCTTTGATCACTTCTTTTTTAACATTCCTTCACTGAAGTATCTACTTCTCTCACTATTGCTCTTCATGGTACAAGGCAAATTTGATATTGGTTTATCCCAACACACGACACTGCCCTGAGATGCTCACGGATGCCACCAGCTGGGCCAGAGCTGTCACCTCATCCCAGGTCAAAGAGACCCTGAACAGCAACACGGGCAGCGCCTCAGCCCCTGTGTCCAAGAACTTATCCCCAAAAAGCTTTGATCCGCAACATCACCCTTCTTTACCATAAAGGACTCAGCATTTGTCCCTATACTTGGATCCTAAATGGCACCCATGAACTCAGCATCTTTGGGGCCCATCTTTCTTTTCACGACGTGGCTGAGAAGGAAGGAAGGGTTGCAGGGAGCCCCTGTGCTTGGTGGGAAACTCATGCTACATCCCACGGCTCCAACTACTATTTGTCACCTGGATAAGAGAGCATGGGAAGAACAAGGCTACATGGAGGGACGAGATTTCTTCCATACCCAGCTGCACAGAAGCCCCTTGGGGCCCAGACTGGCTGTTCCCGCTTTGTGTGGGCAAAATAAGGTGGCAAAGGATCTTCCCTCTTCAAGGACTTGACACAGAGAAATGCAGATCTCCCACCTTCCTCACTGCTGTGACCCCACTCGTGTCCTTGGCCCACTGAAGCTGTCAGCCTGGGACATCTTTCCCTGCAGACAGCCAATTCTGGGCTACATCTAATTGCAGAGAGACAAGGAGGGGGGGACACCAAACCACCCTCCACCCCCTGCTCCTGCCAGGCATGTTTCCCTGCCTCCTTCTAGCAGAGGGTCACGTACCCCCCAACCACTCAGGGGTACCTCCTCCTCCTGGACCATAAATGGACCAAGGGATACAGGCTCACTGGAGGCATCTGCACCGTGGGAAACATCCAACAGGAGACAAGATGAACCTCAGGGCGTCCAGAACGGGGAAAACTGAGCCGCCTGCTCACGTCCCTCTAAGCTAGCCACTGCCCCTTGGTTCATCCTGGTGAAGGAACCATCCCTGCTGTGAGCCCATCCCCAACGCGGGGCCAGGGCACAGCAAGGTCCTCCCAGCAGCCCCCAACCACGGGCAAGCAGGGAGGGCAGCCAAGGTCACCTCTGAGCCCAGATCTCCAGTCGAGCTTGTGATGATGGAGTAAGTCCAAATTCAAGCCAGGAAGCCAACGTGCAGGTCAGGATCCGGGCTGGTGACAAAGGCCAAGGTGAGACGCAGCCTGGTGATTGCTGGGCAGGTCCACTGGGACAAGATCAGCTCCAGGGCCAGGCCAGAAGGTCAGTCCATGAGTAGAGGGCTGGGTGATGGCCAAGCACAGGCCTGTGGTCAAGCTGGAGACAGAGCCATCTACAGCAAAGCTTGGGCTAGGACTGAACCCCAGGGCTGAGTTTAACTAGAGCCCGTGGGTGGGTGCAGAGAGGTACCAGGTGAGGCTGCTCAGGGCCATTAACTCCAGTCAGTGCCCTTGGGGCCCTGGCCCGTTGCTCAAAGCATCTTCTGACCTTGCTCCTTGCTCCAGGATATTAAGATGAAAGCTGAGGCTGACAGTGATGGGTGCCAAGACGTGTGCCTGGGCTCACTGCTTCCAAACCAGCAAACGGTGCGATCGCTTTAATCAAAGGATCAGGCCCTGCCCTGCCCCGAGTCTCACCGAGATGCACTGGAAAACCTTAATTTTGTCTGTGGTCATCCTCTCAGAAAGTCCCTCTTGTGCTCAGGATCAGGCCAGAAGTTGACTATCCATCATGTCCCCGCTGTGTTTGGCATCCCTGAGCCCCATTGTACCCAGTAACAATCACCGGCACCCCCTCCACACACTGCTCATTGGCTCCAAAGAGCCCCTGTTCCCAGGTGATGCCAAACGAAAGTATGACTAATTAAGCACCTGCAGTTGGCTAGTGCAGGACGCTCTGTGCAGCTGAGTGCTGTGCAAAGGCAGCCAGGAGAACAGCCTCTTGCCAGAGCCCAGGAGCAGGGGGAAGAGGGAAAACAAGGGAAAAAAAAAAAAAAAAAAAAAAAAAGAGAGTAATTGAAAGCACTGGAGAAGTATCCAAGAAACCTCAGTTCCAAGAAACTCTCGACAAGCCTCACTCATCGCCTCAATAATTAGAAATAAAAATTGCACTTAGGGTAGGCGGGAACGGGCTGGAAGTGGGTGCCAGGGCGCCCTGCCAGCCCCAGCCGTGCGGGCGGGCAGCCAGACCCTGCACCGGCCCCAGCCCGGCGCTTCCCGCGCCCAGAAAGGGTCAGCGATGGCCAAAGGCAGGAGACATCCTCTGCCCGCTGCTCCACACCTCCCCCAGACCAGCAGTGATTTACTAACCCACGGGATGTTCCTCCAGCTCAAAGCCTGGGATTGAACCAGCTGGTCCACCCACCCCAGCAGGGAACGTCCCGTCCCACCGGTCCCTGAGGTCTCCAGCTGTAATGCAGCCACACGGTGCTGCTGGGTGCTAACAAGACCCAAAGCAGAGCTTTCTCACCCCAAAACCCATAGTTTTAGGCTAGTGAAGGTTTGCATGGCTGAATACAAATAAACCAGTTTTAAGTGGGAACGGGCACTGCGCCACAAGGGTTTGGCTTAGGTTAGCGAAACACGCGGAGATTTATGTCAGGTGCTGATCCGACCCGCTGCTACGGGGTTTCTGTGACGGTTTTGTTTCTGAAATCTCCAGATAAATGTTGTTGCTCGGTACAGGAATCAGTGTGAGACGTGTCGGGTGCCCTGGGAGCTCCCAGCAGACCCAGCACAGCCAGCACCCGCAGCCGGGGCTTTCTGGTTGCCTTTGTACCCCTCCTGCTCCCTCCCAGCCAAAAAAAAATGGGGGACCGGGACCAGCCTGACCTCCCCCCCCCCCCCGGTTCCCCTGCCCAGGGCTGGTGGGTGTTGCTGTTGTTTACCCGATTGCAGCGTCTCTGCGGGACCCCGGCCCCCATCCCGCCGCCCCGGGGAGCCCCCTCACCCCAGGCTCAGCCCCATCGCGACAGCGGTCGGTGACCCCGGCCCAAGGACGGGCGACGAGCGGCTGGGTGGGCGCACGCAGCTCGTGTCTCCTCCTGCCCTCGTCACGCCAGAAATGCCCCCACGCTCCGGCCGGGTGGATCACGGCTCATTAAAGCCTCTCGGGGTATTTTCCCCAGCCCCATTGACGTGCCCGGGCCATGAGTTTCCCTCCGCTCGCCCTATTTTTTCCACCTGCTTTGATGTGACTCCAGGTGAAAAGGCGGCTCCCCCATCCCGAAACACTCCCCCGTGCCCAGCATCCAACCACAGCTTTGTTCGAGGGGTGCTGCCCTGGGCTCCCTCCTTCTCCCCGGGGTCCACAGGGAGGGACGCAGCTCCCAGAGGAGCCCCAAAGCACCCGCTGGCAATGAACCCCCACCACACCCACTGCCCACTCGAGTCCCAGTCGGCACCCATGGGTGCCCCGAAAGCGAGGAGGAGGAGGATGGCAGCTCTTGGGACCTGCTTCCCTGAGCGGGGCGGGTGCCACTGTGCCGCGCCCCCCCTGGTCCCCGTACCTGCACCAATCCTGCCCACGGCCCCGCCGACAGCCCCGGGCAGCCGCTGAGCTCCTGCCACCGCAGCACCCAGGGGGAACTGCTGCCACCCATCCGGCCCCACGCAGGGACTGTGGGGACAGCCCATGCCACACCTCCAGCCCTGGCCAAGCAGGGACCTGCCTCCCATCCTGGCTGCCTGCCTCTCCCTGCCTGCTGCCCGGGCACCCCCGGGGGCTCCCCCTCCTCGCTGGCAGCCGGGCACGGATCAAAACCTGCCCTGATTTATCGTCTCAGCGCAGCCTGGGTCAAAACAACCCGGAGCCGCTGCTGCAGGAGCTGTTCCCGTGGGATCTGCCAGGGGATGGGGACACGGTGTCAGGGCCAGGGCGTCCCCACCACCGTCCCAGTGGAGAGGCAGGTGGTCCCAAACTGGGTCTGAGGACAACGGGTGGGCACAAGCATGTCCAGGGCAGTGTTTAGGAAGAGAGCAGGCAGATTCGGGCAGCGGGGGCGTTGGGCTGCACTGGGGATGAACTGGTTTCACTGGGGAGTTCCCAATCCCCCCCACCTCAGAGCCCCCGGGGCCTGGCAGCAGCTCAGTGGGGCTCGGGCTGTTCCTTGAAAAATGAGGAAGGTGGGAGCAGGGGCCAGCTGAGGAAGAGGAGGCTGAAGGCACGAGCGAACCCCGCCACCTCTGAGCAGCCCCGAGGTGACAGAGCTGGGACTGCAAACCCAGCTGGGGACAGAGGCCGCCTCGTTAGTGACAGCATCTAACGAGATGAGAGCCAGCCCCCTCACCCATCCCACCCCACCCTCATCCCGCCCGCCCGCAGAGAGGCCCCACCATAGTGATCCTGCAGTTCGCCATCATTAGATTAATTGCTCGCTGCAATTAACCACAGAAACCCGGAGGCAATTAACCAAGCGCTGGCCCGACAGTCCATAAAGCATTTACTGCGCAGTCAGGAATAACTCGTTTGAGGTCCATAAACAACACAGCTGTGCCGTGTCCCCACACCCCCACGTCCCCATGGGGCACTGGGCGACACTGGCCAGCACCTGACCTGCAGTGGTGGGGGGCAGATTTGGGTGCCTCCCCATCCCAGGGCTGCTCCTCGCCTCCTGAAAAGGGAGAGGGAAACCTCGCCCAAGC